GGTTTATTTCATAAAGCCAATATAAACACTGTTTTTTTGAAGGAAGGGAGAAAAAGGCCTTTAAGAAGGGAAGAAAGGAGAGCAGGAACTGACTGGCAGAGAATTTGGATGAGGAAGATGATGAAGAAAGGAAGGGAGCTGAGAATGTGATCCAAGAGAGCCTAAGTGTGTGATGACCACGGTGATTAGTTAAGACAAGAAGCTGCATAGAGGCAGACAGAGAAAAAGTGTAAAAGCATTCGGCGTGTTTGGTCTCGCACTTGGTGTGTTTGGGCTCACAAACTGGAGGGCACGACAGCATCTGATCACTTCCTAAAATTCGGTTGGAATGGGACGCACCGGAGGAAAGTGCTTAAGTGAGAGGACCACGCTCACAGACACGGACATAGCACAAAGCAGTCAGGGTTCGTTGACGCTGAAAATTGAATTTACTTTCCTAGGATGAAAAGTAGGATCCTCCAAAGTGGCTTCTAGCAGGCAAAGTGGACAGAGGGGACACGGCTGACGTGAAGGCAAAGGCTGACAAGTTTTGAATTGCATTGTTTGCTGTAGAGTCTGCAGCCGCCAAGGACTCAACCCAGTGGGTGGGAGATGGGTATCTAAAATGAAGCATCCTCCTCCTCCAAGCTCATGGCTCCAAAAGAGGCACTGACCTTGTTCAAAGCAGCAAGGGGTCAACTTTGGGTGTCTGAACATAGGCACACCCTGCCTGGTACTATCTATTGCTCAAAGGGTCCTAAAAAGTACTCAGAGGACCTGTGTGCTGTCCTCAGAGGACTTCCAGCTGTGCTCCATGACCCAAACGTGCTCCTTTGTGGTGGGATGCTCAGGCTGCTGAAGCCCAGGCATTGCACCCCCAGCTCAAGAACTGAGCCACAGCATTGCCCATATTTACAGGCAGCCCCCACTGCTCGGGCGCTGCTCTGTGCTTTTCCTGACATCCCCCCCGTTCCTTTGTTTCTGTTTGTCTGAGTTTTCATATGTGAATGTTTGAGCTTGTTTATCTGTTTCAGCTGAAAAACTCCAAAAGCTCCGGCAAAATGCTAATAAGCAGCATTAGCTGCAGTTAATTGAACTGCTTCTATGATCCTCCATAATTATCTCCTGGTACAGCACCCTGAGAAAGGCTGTCTAAGAAAGGCAGGATGGATGCCAGAGATAATCAGATACCAGATCAGGGAGAAGCATTTCATTTTCTTATCCAAATTAAGATTTTTGGGGGGATTGATTACCTCACTAAATATTTGCTGTGGAGAGCAAACTAAGCTGGTTCTGGTGGGGACTGCAAAGGGAACGCCGGGTGCTCAATTATTTACAGACTTGCTTGGCTAGCTGAGCGTGCGCCAGGAATGCAAAGAGAGCCGTCACCGGGAATCTCATCGGAGATTTTTCATTGGGAGTAAAAAGCGAGCAATGACAAGGGGGAATGTTCTCCCGAGTCAAAATGCTGAAACTTGCCTGGTGATAAATTGAGCTGTCACCGGGGCTTGATTATCACATCCAGAGCGTGCCTTCCCCCAGTCTCTCCCCAAACTCCTTGAGTTTGCAGACAAGGAGCATATATTGGGCTGGCACAGACCTTCGAGGTCAGCAGGTGCAACTGCTTGCAATCACCACTGGTGCCTTTCGAAATCACCGTTAATAAAGGCTGTAGCTTGGTCCTAGCCCAGCTTGGAGGTCCTTTGTCAGCACAGTTGGGTTGGATGCTCTGTGCGTGGCTGAATCCTTGCTGCGCGGTCAATGCCTTGCTCGTCCTGCTCTTTCACAGCTCTCTGTAACTCACAGAGACAGCTCATAACAATTAAAAGCAGATTTATAAGCTGTGCATAGATGATACAAATTATCACAACATTTTATGAGCATGGGCCACGAGAGCTCCAGTCACAAACCATACAATTGGCTTGTAAGAGAAGGAAAATTCATGGATTTTTTTCAAAATGGGAGTAGAAGTTGGCAGCAGTGGCTATTAATAAGCTGTGAAAGATGGGTTTCTGTTCAGGAAGCTCAAATATCAATGAAAAGCTATATAGCCAAGCAGCACTAGCAGTGCGAGTGGTTTTTATACAGGGACATATATCAAAAAGAAAAGGAATCCTCGCAGTGGCATTGCATATCTCACTGGGTGCGGATGCTAAAACTGTTGCTAAAGATGTAGAAAATCTTTGGGGTACTGAAACTGTCTATTTAGGAAGAAGCAGTTAATGTCACCTTATATTCACTGCAGAATAGGAATTGTATGAAGCCCAGGCTGCAGTTTGGGTGGGCTGTGAGGAGCTCATTGCGTTGTCCATCTAATTGGGGCTGGCAAGTAATGGTCCAGCCTGTTAGGAGGAAAACGCCCTCTGAGGATTCAGATTTCTTCTTGTCTCTGCTCACAGGTGCCTGATGGCACCGGCCACAGCTGGAGCTGTGATGTCAAACCTGGACCAGGGCCTGAGACAAGCTGCTTCATCCCGGTTCCTTCCCACTTCTGCAGACATCGCTCGTGTTTATTCAGCCCATTACGATGTTTCTATTTGTTCAATTGTACCATTAACCAGGCAAGGTGCCAAAAAAGCATCTGCTAATATTCAGCATCTAATTATGACAATGATATGATTGCAAGTTCTGCTTTCCATGCTGTTAGGAGATGGTGCGCTCCTCCACCTCTCCGTTGCATGAGGAACGGGCATTGCTGTAGGAAATCTCTGCAGTAATTGTCTCCAACCCTATTCTGCTTTCCTAAACCTCCTGGTGTTTGCCTTGCCATGGCCTTTTCCTCCTGCCCTGCTACTCTCATACCTGCTGCTTTGCTCCTGAGGAGAAACGTGGAGCAACAGTGGCACCGAGTGGGCACGCAGAGGAACAGGACAGCTAAGGCATGGCATAGGGGATGTTAGAGCAGGAGTACATGGGACTAAGACTCCCCATGAATTTTTTTTATGGTCAGGGATCCACAATATGGTGAGGATTCATAATGCACCTAGAGCTGGCAGAAATCCAGCCCTGAATGGGAGGTTGAGTTGAGGAACTCTGAGGACTCTTCCTCCAACATGGCTTGGGTGTACCAGGAAAGGCAAATACTGTTAGCCAGAAAAATGCCCAGGGCTTGGACCAACCTCTTGAAGGTCTTTGGACCCCACGTTGCAGCAATGAGTTTCACAGGTGAGACCTCTATGAAGGGTTTGCAGGGTGTCACCATCACTGCTGATGCATCTCCCGGTTGCTCTTTCCATCCTCAGAAAAATGCAAGACCCTCTCTGCAACTTTTGACTCAGAAGGTCCCCAAAAACCAGTGTTGGAGAAATGTCCCTCTGTTCTTGCTGGGATTCACAGCCTCTTTTCAACACCTGTGGGCTGACACTGGGCTGAGCACACCTTGCTTTGACCCTGTGCAGTAGTCCTGGTGTTTGCCCGTGTTAAAACAACCTGGTTTGAATTTGTAGGTGCAGAGCGACCTGGGGATCCATCCTTTCCAGTACCCCCCCTCCAGCCTTCATGCTCTCCATGGGCCTTATAAGCAGTTAGCCTGTTTTTGTGTTTGAATAATTAACGAAAAAGTTAAATCCTAAAAGATTAAAATTAACCACTGCGAAATGTTGTTAGAATTAAGTGTAAAATCAATGATTGTCCTTTTATAATTACAATTTGCTTCATTTTTTTTATGTGGTTTTAATGCGTTCTGGTGTCTTGACGTGAATTTTGTGCCTTTCCAGATTAAAAGCCATCCCTGTTACAGGTCTGCAGCCTCGCAGGGTGTAATTCAGGTTCACTTCCATATCAGTGCCTGCCAGCAAGGACCGTGAGAGTGGAGAGCCAAAGGAAGAGGGCAGAGAACACAACTACTGCAGGCAGGGATGGAATGCAGCTGAGAGGAGCCGACTGTAGGGGAAGCTGGTGTTAATTACCTTTATAGCCAAACTCACAGCCTGATAAAAAAATATCCCCCTTGAGTGAGAGATAACGTAATTAATTTGCATGGGAGAGGTGTGATACGGACGGGCTTGTGCCTGTGAATCCTGTCCAGCCTCCAGAAATGTTGGCACGGTCCAAACTTTCCTCTTTGCTCTGCAACAAATCAGTGACACTTGAATCCCCTCCATGGGGACAAATGCTTAATATGGGATGTGCTGATCTGGATGTGCTGCTGATGCCCCTGAGGCCAAAATGATTTTCTGCACCCTCTTTGCTGGAGGTGGCCAAAGCCCCCCTTCCCCAGCCTGGCATAAGCACACGGTGCTGAGCAGAAGCAGCTGTGCCTTTCTCCTTCCCTTCGGCAATTTTCTCTTTTTCCTTTCTCCGGGCCCATTTTTTATTCCTCGGGAAAGAAAAAAGAACAATGCCAAAAGCGTGAATTTAAGCCAAAAGCCGGGCAGTGATGCTCTTTGCGCCCACCCGGCTGCGGCCGCTCCTCCACCGGCCCCTTCTGCCGGGTCCCCCTCGCCACCCCCCCATCCTTACGCTGTCCCCCCCCCCTCTCTTTGTGCTTTTTTTTCCTGCAACCGGAGAGCCCCGGAGGCCGCCTCCATCCCCATGGAAACTCCGGGCCGCCGGGGGCCACCCGCCCAGGCGAAAAGGGGCAGGCGGAGAGGGGACAAAGGGACAGGGGGGGAAAGTGGGCGGCCGGAAAACCGGGCTGGGGCGGCGGAGAAAAAGGCAGAAAAGCGGAGAAAAAGGCAGAAAAGCGAAAAGAAAAGGCAGAAAAGCGGAGAAAAGGGCAGAAAAGCAGAGAAAAAAGGGAGAAAAGCGGAGAAAAGGGCAAAAAAGCGGAGAAAAAAGGCAGAAAAGCTGAGAAAAAAGGCAAAAGAGTGGAGAAAAAAAGGCAGAAGAGCGGAGAAAAGGGCAGAAAAGCGGAGGAAAAAAAGGCAGAAAAACGGAGGAAAAGGCAGAAAAGCGGAGAAAAAAAAAAAAAAGAAAGAAAAGCGGGGAGTGCAACGTGGCAAAAGTTGAAGGCTGAAAGAAAAGGGATGGGGCCGGGGCTTGGGGAGCGCTGGGGGTCCCCGCGGAGAAACGGGGAGGGGGGGGACGGGACTCGGAGCACGGCCGGAGATGGGGAGGGGGCTGCAGAGGGACGAAGGCAAAGCAGCGAGCTGGGGGCAGCACAGAGCCGGGGAGCCGCGGGCTGGGCTGGTAAGTGATGGGCAAGGGCCTGGGTAAGCCATGGGCAAGGTTTGGGAAGTCCTGGGGCTGTTTCGGAGCTCGGGGGGTGGCCCCCGCCGTGCTCCCCCCGGCTGGGAGTTTGGGGGTCGCGGGGGGTTGTCCCCACGCCATCCCGGCGCAGCCAGCTCTCAGGAGAAACTGAGGCACGACCCTCGCCGTGCTACAGGAGGATGGCGATGTGCTGCCGAAGGAGTCGTTTTAGGGGGAAAAATTTGGTTTGGTCGAGTAAAAATAGCGTGGTGCTTATAAAATGGGCCCTGGACATAGGCATGGGGCACGACCGGGTCCTCCTGGAGGCATTGATCTCCACCGCAGCTGGAAGTTTTCTTGGCGTGGAGGTGCTGGCGGTATGCAGAGCTTGCTGATCCCCTTTTTTTCTGTAAGGAATAGGGCAGAGGGACTGGTTTTTCCTTCTAGGTGCTTCGGAACAAAGTGTTGGTACTGCAGACTGCGGGGCAGAGATTTCTCAGGAGCAGCATCCTGCTGGTGGGATTTGCGCATGGAAAGTCCTTTGAGGGAGGCAAAAGGAAGGATTTTATCCTTGCTGTTTGTGTTTCCAGTGCTGAGGTCTGGAAGTTCCCAGCTCCTCTGCTTGTAGGCTTGTGGTGCCACCAACTGCGCGGCACCAGGCCATGGGAGGAAACTTTTTGTTGCCTGACTTGATCTCCTGCTGCTCACATGGGGGAACATCTCCAGCAGCTGCTGAGCTCTGCACAGGCTGCTTGCTGCTTTCTGGGTGGCTTCGCTCCCAAGTGCAGCATTTGCTTCATTCCCGGTGCCCAAGAGAGAACGAAAATTCGCTTTTCACAGGTAGGGATGGGGCGCCAACCAGACCTCATTGTCCTAGGACAGCTGGTGGAGTAGGTGACCAAAAAGGAGGCTCAGTGAAACCTCCAGCCCCAGCCAACTTGGCAACAGAGCAGAGCTGGGGCCAAACAATTTGGTGGTGCAAGACAGGGGGCAGCGCTTACCCTACGGGAGTACACTCTGTCTTGGACACCCAAGGGCCCTCCCTCCTGCAGACATTTTGGGGATCTCAGCTGAGGATGTGCTGGGTGAAATCTGCTGGTGCTGGGCACCTGCGTTGCTCCAAGTTTCTCTTGGCTGCACGTCCAGGATCCCTGCTGAGGATGCGCGGCTGTGGGTGGTGGCACGATGAGGGGCACCCAGGTAATTCTCGCAGTTGCCTGTATCTGGTCTTGGCCACTTTGCTCTGCTCCATCTGAAAAATAGGCTCAAAGGGGGACTGGAGAGCCACAGATTTGAATTAAGGTGCTCCTTAGGCAAAAGGTATTGGATTTGGGGGTTCTGCTAGGATCTGCTTTTCCTATTACTACCTTGGTGGGTTTTAGTCTGTGTCTGTGCTCAGTTTTTGCTGTGTGACCTTAGAGTCAAAATTTGTGAAAATTTTGTGAAAATTTGGGAAAATTGCCACAATGATTTTCACAATGGCAAACACAAGGCTAAGTCTGTAGGTATCTTTACTTGGGCTCTCGTTTGAGCCAATCTCAATTTCACTTCTCTGCTTTGGGGACGGGACCCAGCCTGCTCCCCAGAAATATCTGCTCTTGTCTTCTGCTGCTCAGGTGCTTCGTTTCGCCCTGGCGGTTATTGCTTCAGCATCCTGACAGGAGCCGGTCGTGCCCTCTTGTTTCATCTGTCTTATCTGGGATGTGAAAATACCTCCTGCTGGGATTAACTCCTGCAAAATGCAAATCAAATGGTTGTACACAGCCTGGTCATAAAAGATTACAGTTGAGCTGCCCTTAAAGAGCATCTGCTGTAATTTTACCCTAAGCTTGCGGAAAATCAGCCGCTTGCTGAGTTGTGGCCACGTCCACGGGTGTCAGTACAGCCACCAACACCAGCCTGTAGCACCGAAGGCAAAAGTTTCCATGTCTTGTGATGAGATTTTTATTATCAGAGGGAGCAAAATGCTGATGGATGATGCCTTGAAAAATGATGATGCCTTTTAAGTGGTCCCAGACCCAGTCCTGTGCAGAAAGACACTGCAGAGGGTTGAAGACACGGGGGAGGTGGGGGTCAAACCAAGCACCAGGTGCCTGGCTGCATTTTGGGCACACTGGGGTATTGCTGATACGGCTGGAAAAAAATAACGGGGGGTGAAGTGGATTTTCTGTGCTGTTTACTTAGGTGTGCAAAGAGATTTTGGAATCTCCCAGCACTGACGATGCTGCCCTGGAGCACTTTGATGGAAGGTGCTGTCGCTGTGCAGGTGAGAGGTGCTTCAGCAGCCTTGAGGCTTTGTCTTCCAAAAGGCTTTTCCCAGCTGTTTATCAGGTGGGAAATTATCTTGGTTCACCCTGGGCCCTTGCGTCTTTGTTTGTGGCTTCCCATCTACAGCAAATTGACGCTGGAAGGCAGCTGGGGATGAGCTGGGGGTTGAGTTGTGCTTTGCTTGGACCCCACTGCAGCTTTTTGGCCTCCCCTAACCCTTACGTGCTGGGGACATTTATGAACACCGCACAGCATTATAACCATAAACATCTTTGTATCTAAATGGGAGAATTGCTCTGGTCTCAAAACATGCTGCCCAGCAAACCGAATTTCATTGTCATCTCCCGCAGAAAGGGGGATTGGCATCCCCCGGCACCAAAAGTAACCGGCCTCTGGGCTGCTCGCTCCAGTTTCTTCTTTCCAAATTTTTGGATGTGGAGGTGACGGAGGGGACAGGCAGCATCTTGGCAAAGACTGGCCAAAATGGTGAAGATGCAAGGATGGTGGAAAGTGGCCTTGAGCGCTGAAGGCTTTTGAACCTCATTCATCCTCCAATTCGGGGGATGTAGCCTCCCAAAACTGCATTAAAAGAGTCGGTTGGTGTCCTGTCCTCCCACGAGGAACACACACGGTGCAGCCACGGGGCTGGGTGAGATTTGTTTCCTCTTTGCTGCTGGATATCAGCACGTTATTACTTTGTTGAAGATTTATTATCGGGCATTTTTTAAGCTCTGCCTTTACTCACCCTGCAGATCGGTGTTTTCCAGACTTAATGCTTTCTCAAGGTGCACGTGGGGTTACAGCACCGCACTGGCACTGCGGTTGGTTTACAGAGTCATTTATTTCAAGGATTATTGATTTACCGGGTATCTCTTGCAGCAGGTGGGGTTTTGTCTGATAGAGGTTAAACCCCTGTCTTCCTTCCCAATGCTTGGAGCAAGATTTCGGCTTCTTCCAGGGAAAATCGGAGCAAAAAGGGAAAAACGGTGGTACTCATTTCCCACCTATCCCACCAACATTTTGCATTGCTGCCCTTCAGAGCCTCAGTTGCCCTTTTGCCAACTGAAAAAATACTCATCAAGGTAACTGAAAACCCAATCAAAGCCCCAGAACATCCAGTAATTCCCATTTCCAGTAATGGGAAAAAACAAACGCTTTGGTTTCACCTGGGACGTGCTGAGGTGGTTACCGCCGTGCCTCTTTTCTGTAGCACCGCATGACTTCGTGGCCCAATTTTTCCCTAATTAAGAGTGTGTTTGGGAGTAAATGATACTCCAGAAATCACGCAGTTTGGAAATGCAGAATGTGGGTTGTCACAGCAAGGAATCGCGTGCGCTGTTTGATCAGTTGTGTAGTAACTCGGAGGATGTAAAAGGGTGTAAAGGAATGTTTCCTCTTGTTTTGTCACCTTCTAAAATTTTTCCAGCGGAAGATACACTTAGAGAAAAATTAAAGCCTTGATCGACAGCTTGCTTAAAATCCGATGGCTGCTTTTTCTTTTACTTCTCTGCTTAAACCACAGGTTTCTCCATTTTCCATCACGACAAACGGAGCTTTCTTCATTACTGCCAGCATTCGGTGCCACAAGCTAAATCCTCTTTCATCTTTATCTCTTGGCTTCTGCGATGAGAAGGCTGCGATGATGCGCTGGGAGATGCAGCAATTAACTCTACTCCAGGATTTAGCTCTGCCCTCGGTTGAGCGAGAGATGCTGCGGAAAGGTTGCCAGAGATGCAGACACAAATCCTCCATCCAGGTTTTTGCTGCATCCCTGCTGCTGAGGGAGATATGGATCATAACCAGAATTATTGCCCGTCCCCGGGAAAGGAGGGGATGCTGAGAGACGTCGGTTTGCAAGGGAGATGGATCTGGGCGCCGGGTTTTTGTGCCGCCTCGGTGCCATGCGGCGGGTGTCCAAGACGCCCCGGTGATGCGGGGGGTGCGGGATTTTTCAGTTCTGGTGCCGATGCTGCTCTCATGGTGAGGTCTCTGTGGCGCAATGGACGAGCGCGCTGGACTTCTAATCCAGAGGTTCCGGGTTCGAGTCCCGGCAGAGATGATCTCCAGGCAGGTGTCTCTTTTATTTTATGCATGTTCCATCATAGATACCAATCCGTCGCGTTGATAACACCCCTGAAGGCTTGAGAGGGGAGATAATGACTTTTCACGGCACCGTCTCCGCTGCAGATGCTCCTAACGGGTGTGTGGCACAGAATGACGGAGTGGTAGGGGTTGGAAGGGACCTTGGAAGATCATCCAGCCCAATCCCCCTGCCAGAGCAGGAGCACCTAGGTCAGGTCACGCAGGAACTCATCGTATCGTTGGATGTCAGCGAGCAGAGCCCACCTCACTCCTCCTCCTACTTATTCCCCGTGCTAGGAGCACTGGTGTACAGGCACCCCCCATCTCAGGTGTGTTTCTTGCCCCATATTCCCCTTTCCTCATTCCTTTTGGTAGTTCCTGAATGCCTTGATGTTTTTGCCCCATTTGTTTCCCCCCAAACTGCTCATGGGCCCTGTCTTTGATGCCTTGTTGAGAAAACTACTGGGCTTTCCCGTAGAAATTGGGTGGTCAGGAAGCGGTTTAGAGCCTCGCGTTGAGACTTCCTTTGGTAGACACGGTCATTTGTTTCAAATGTAGGTCAACAAAAACGTAGGGCCGTGTTCTGAGTTCCCACCTCACGGAAATCCTTTGGAAGTGCTCTTGACTTTCATATTCTTATATAGATTTGTGTTTGGCAACCACCTCCATACCCCATGGAAATTTATCATCCTACGTAGCAAATTGACTTCTTCCTTCACGGGTGTTCGAAGCCGTGAGTGTGTAATCTCACGTAAATAAATAATGAATAAAGAATTGCTATAAGCATTGAGAAAGAAAACGGGGAGCTGCGTGTGGTTGTGGCTGGGGTTCGTAGTTGACTGGGTTTCAACGGGGGCTGCCAGCGGACTTTTCCAGGCTACCGCAGCATTTTTTTTGTGGTGACAACGTGCTGAAGGTTGAAGGAGGAACCATAGAATGGTTGGGTTGGAAGGGACCTCTACAGATCACCTCGTGCCAGCCAAAAATCAGAATTAGCTTTTATTTTGTTGTCTGGCCTTCTGTGCTGGCACTGTCTGTCCTCTGCAGGGCTCCGGGAGGTGCTGAGGGGCTCCCTGCACCACACCTTGTCTCGTGGCTTCATTAATGAAGATGAGCTTCAAATTGTTGTGTTGGTGCTTTGGGTTGTGTGTTGAGCCTGTGTGTCCCACAGCCAATGGTGCTCAAATGATAAAATCACAAAATCCAGGCAAAGACTGCAGGGCTAGCTTGGTCTGCGCCTTGCTCTCACACATTTTGGGGCAGCTGTGCTGAAATGGGGCTTCCACAAGAAGCTGAGTGGTACCATGGGTCCCAAAACTGTCCCGTGCCTCTCACAACCCATTCAACATGATCCATCCAGGGGGCAAGCAGCAGAAACCTGCCTGTTTCTTGCCCATTGGTGTCTGACCTCCAGCACAGAGAAAGGGTCAAAGAAATTGCAAATACAACCTCAGAAGAGCTTGAGAATCCTGCCACTGGGTGATGGATGGACCCCAAGACACTGGGGAAGGAGTGAAGCAAAAAGCCGTATGTGAAGAGGATCCATTGCAGCTCATTTGCTCTGGGGGAAAAAGAAATAAAGAAACGGGCAAACAAACAAAGAAACGAAAAACAACAAAAAAAAATGCAGACGGTCACCCAGGAGGACTGGAGTCTCCCTAGGGAGCAGAGGAGGCATCTCAGAGGGGCTGCATGAGGGTTGGATGAGGCTGTGGTTTCAGGGTGAGCCCTGAAACCCTATTAAGAGAGGTGTGGAGGAAAAAAAAAATGTCATTCAGGACTGGACATTATAACAACACAAAGATTTCCGGTGAGTGGGGTTGGTTCTTTGCATAAGTGTAATAAAACCAAGTGCTATTTCCTTCCTTTTTTCTCAGAAAAGCATCTCCACGCAGGGGACATCAGGGTTGCCCTCTGCAAGGGGAAGTCGCCAAGCTCCGGACCCCCAGTCTGGGATGGGGGGGAGCAGAGCCCTGCTCCTCCTGGGTGAGTGCGACCGCAGGGGCTGGGGGCTGCTGGCGTGGACGTGTGTCCCCAAAAAGCCACAGGGACCCAGTGAGCATCAGCAAGGGCAAAGGTGACCCCCATCTCCGGCACAGGTTCTGCTGGGTGCCCCTCACACCCCTTTGGGGCATGTCTGGGGGGGGTTCACTTTGCCTGGGTAAGGGAAGATTTTTGTTTCTCCTGCCAGGTGGAGGAGATTTGGATGGAGCAGTGGTTGCCCCTGTCACGACATAGGTTTAGGGCTTCCTTTTTGGGGTGGCCTTGTTGCTGGGGAAGAGGGAAACGAGGGTCCAAGCAAGGCTGGTGGGCATCAGCATGGTGGGGCTGGGGATACCAAACCATGGGGTGATGCAGAGGTGCTGGTGGGCGTCTCGGTGACCTGGCAGATCTTGCCAAGACTTTTCTTTTAGGATGGGTTTTAGGACGTCCAAGGGCAGGCTCACTCCTCTCTGTACTGCAGAATGCCCGGCAGATGCTTCCCAGTGGTGCTCACCCCTTCTTTTCCTCCTTGCAGCTCAAGTCCTCGGCCTTGCTGGTGAGTCTTATTTGCTGGCAGGTTTTTGGTGAGAGCCCATGGGTTCTTGGTGAACGAGGTGGCAGGGACGTCCCCTCGCACGGCCACAGGGCACGGCACGGCTTTGCTGTGCCTCCCCATGCTGCCTGTCTTGAGGGCAGCACCAACCACCAGCTCAGCCAACCCTCTGCAAGACAAAGCCCCCCAAAACCCCACCAACACCCTAAAAACCCTAAATCAGCAGCAGGGTCCTGCCTTCTTCCCCCATCCCAACCTCTGTGCTCGGGGCTGGGGGCTCGCTGCCGCACGCGGCGATGTGCTGATCCCTGTCCTGCCCTCACCTCCCCTCCTGCCTGGACCCTTCACAGCCACGGAGATGGCTCTGCTAACCACGGACCCCCCCTGGAGCACGATATTTCGAGGAGAGAGCGTTACCCTGCGGTGCCGGGGCTCCCAGCCCTCGGGGCAGCAGCCCACAACCTGGTACCACAACGACAAGATCCTGGCGCGCACGGCCACGGACACGTACAGGATCACAAACGCCAGGCAGAAACAGACGGGCACGTACAAGTGCCAGAGCCCCGGCTCCGTGGCCAGCAACCCCATCACCTTGATCGTCTCCTACGGTGAGTGACGTGACCTGGGCTGAGCTCTGCTCGCCCGTGCTCCACGGCTTCGCTCTGGGACAAACGGAGATCCCCTAAGCATAAGGAAGGCGGTGGTGTTGGTGTTGGGGCACCACGAGCTGGGGTTTGGGGACTTTTGGCCTCCCTATCCCTGCACGATGCATCTCTTTTATAGAATCGTGGAGATTCTGTATCATAGAATCTGTAGAATCGTGGAATTCTCCATGCTCAAGAGCCACAGCTCCCTCAGACAGCCTCCAAATGAGAGGTGTTCCAGCCCTTTGGCCATCCCCGTGGCCTCCTCTGGACTGGCCCTAATAGCTCCGTGTCCTTCTGGTGCTCCAGGGGGGGTCTCAGGAGCGCAGAGCAGAGGGCACCGTCCCCTCCCTGCCCTGCTGCCCACGCTGCTTTCGGTTCAGCCCAGCATCAGGTTTGGCTTTCTGGGCTGTGAGTGCACTTTGCTGGCTGATTTCAAGTTTTTCATCCACCGGTACCCCCAAATCCCCCTTTGTGGGGCTGTTCTCACTGCATTCAGCACCTGGTCCGTGCTGATTGAGGTTTGGGACTACCCCAGTCCGGGTGCAGGACCTTCAGCAACTGCTCCTGGGGTGTCGTGCAGATTGGCTGATCCTCCAGGTCCCGTCTCACGCGGTGTTCGAGGGCGAGCTGCTGTGCATGCAGTGCCGGGGCTGGGAGCCGGGGAGCGTGACTTCGGTGCAGTATTTTAGGGACGGAGCAGACATCACCACCCGCTACGCCTCGGACAAGCAGCTCTGCATCCCCCGGGCTGAGACCCAGCAGAGCGGCAGGTATCGCTGCACGGGCCAGATGAACTCCTTCTTGTCGGTAATAAAAAGGGAATCTCAGGAGTTACATGTTTGTATCAGAGGTAAGAAATTCCTGGGGGTCTTTGGGCCTTCCCAAAAGTCAGAGGGTGTGGAGCTCTGTATGACGGCTGAGCCAGGTCCATGCTACCAGTGCAGGAATTAAATCAAACCCCGTGCCCACAACCACAGAGACCTGGCCGGTTACATCCAACCCTGGCTCTGGGGTGCTCCCTGCACCCGAATTGGGGTCTTGGTCCCGTGCAGCCTTGTTCTGGTGGGGTGGGGTGACTGTCCCTTCCCTCGGGCATCTTGAGCAGCGAGGCAGCCCCAGAAGCTCCCTCCAAGGAGATGCCCCCTGACAGCTCCCGGGAGGGTTTTTATGTACCTTCCAGTTCAAAAGAAAGAACAAAAACCCAAAAGAAAGAACAAAAACCCCAAAGAAAGAACAAAAACCCCAAAGAAAGAACAAAAACCCCAAAAGAAAGAACAAAAACCCCAAAGAAAGAACAAAACCCCTCTTTCCTTTCCCCAGAGCTCTTCTCCTCCCCGGTGCTGAGCGTGGCCAGCTCAGCGGAGACCCTTGAGGGGAGCCCCCTCAACCTGAGCTGTGTCACGCACCTCAGCCCCCACAGCCCCCGCACCATCCTCTGGTACCTCTTCTACCGAAACGGCACGGTCCTTCGAGGCCCCAAAACCTCCTCCAAGTACCACGTGCCGATGGTGGGGCTGGCGGACACGGGCTCCTACTCCTGTGAGGTGCGGGCGGAGAACTCCAGCATTTGGAAGCAGAGCGCCCAGGTCCCCATTGCTGTCAGAAGTGAGTTTTTGGGGTGCTGGGGACCGGTGGGGGTGCAGGCAGGGAAGGGCAGCCCCTGAGGGGGTCTCCCAGAGACGTGTGGAGGCTGTGGGGTTTGGCACAAAGCCACGCCACTTTACAAAACCCCAAATTTCCCATGCCTGCAGCTACACGCTCAGCCGTCCACTGGTCCTGCTGCCGGCACGGTGTGGTTTCGGGGTTTTGTTTTTGGTGTTTCGGTTTCCCTTTGGGTATGAATTCTGTTCTCTCTCATTCTATGTCTCCATCCTGTCTCATCTCTCATCACCCAGCATTCCCAGTCATTCACTGTTTGGGAAAAAAAAAAATAAATAAAAAAAAAGCCCAGTTTCATTGGGAACGTCTATACTGGAAACCAGTATGTTTCCTCTCTCCCCCCCATCTCGCAGGAGTCCCCATCTCAGGGGTGTCCCTGGACGTGCAGCCCCACGAGGGGCAGGTGATGGAGGGGCAGCGCCTGGTGCTGAGCTGCTCGGTGGCTGCAGGCACGGGATCCATCTCCTTTTCCTGGCACCGAGAGGGCTCCGCAGAGGTTTTGGGAAGGGGCACCCGTTACGAGATCCCGTCAGCCCAGCGAGACGACGATGGGCACTATTACTGCGTGGCCTCCAACGGGGGTGTCCCAGCCCAGAGCCCGCGGCTGCGGGTCACGGTTGTGGGTGAGTGGCATCAAGGGGACATTGCTGGGAGGAGGAGACCCAGGACTGGGTCTCAGAGCTGGTCCCAGCCCCAGCTGTAAGGCCAAGGAGCTGGGCTGCGCAGAACAGGACCAGCACGGGGCCAGCGAGTGGCTCAGCCCCCCAAAAGTCTCCCAGCCACGTGCTGGTCCTCTCCATATGAAAAAGAAGATGGTTTAATTGACATCTAGCAGTGCTGATGTCACCTAATGGCTTTTTTCCGTTCGTCCTTGCATTGGGCGCACAGGACTGGCTGAGGTCCAGATTGAGATTTGAGTATTTGTGGTGCTGGTGTTAGAGCTGAGGGCTTAGTGCCGTAGCACGGCTAACAGGAGGCTCCCCGTTTTTGGCTGGGTAATTCTCCAAAGTCCACGAATTCCAGCATCAGGCCCACGTGGTGTTTCCAAGTTTCCCCGAGTCCTCAGGGGGTGTTTGTTTCTCAGGTGTCTCCTCGCTCTTCTACTGCCATATCAGAGCACCGCTGCTGCTGGCAGCCTTGGGGTCCCTGCTGTCCGGGCTGCTTGCTGTCCACGTCCTCATGAGCAAAGACCCGAAAGGAGCGAAGCAGTGAGTGGGACCCCCCACGAGACCACCTGCATATGTATGGGATGCACACCAGGAAAGAATCCTTGTGGGGCACCTCCAACCCACAAGGGCACCATGGAAATTGGGCAAACGAGCGTCCCCACGGCCCTTCTCAATGTGTATTGACAGAGGTGCTTCTGGTTTCCTGCACGTGCTGCCCAATAAAGCACTTCTGAGCGTGGAGATTTGTGCTTGCCTGTGTGGCTGCTGGTGGAGCGTGCCCCGTGTGCACGTGTATACACGAGTGTGCAATTGCTGCTCACACACATCGCATCGCCCAGGGGAGTGTTTGCTCTGTGCTTTTTGGGCAGGGGGGAGTGGGGCAGGGGGCAGAGGAGAAATGAAATGAACTCGATCTGGGAGCCCTGATGCAACCCCACACACAGCAGCACTCTGCGACTTGTCCCTTTCCAAGCAACCCTACAAGTAACCCTACCCGGAACACCGGGACGAACGCAAAGTAGGACCCTAGCCAACAGGTACGGTGCAACTTTCGCTCATCAAAAAGTGCTCCCAACAGAAGCCTTTGGGTACACCTCAGCTCCCCTGGGGAGCCTTCATGCAACCCCACAGGACACAGGACTCTGCACCTTCTCTCTTTCGAAAGAACCCTAAGCGTATCCATGTCTGTAATGATCAATGTAAACCAACCCTAACCCTAATCATAGCCCTAAACCTAACCAAAACGCGCACCCTCACCCTAAGGACCATAACCCTAAACGCAAACCTGACCCTAAAGCTAACCTAATCCCTAAACCCAACTCTAACCCTAAACCCAACCCTGACCGGTATCTAACTCTGACGGTGGCTCTAACCCTAAAACTACTCCTAAACCTAACCCTATTGTAACTCTAACCCTAATCCCCAAACAACCAATGACACTAATCCTAAACCGCGGCGCTAAAATAACACGCAGAGCTAATCCTAACCCTGGCCCTAACCCTAGACCTAACACTAACCCTAAACCAGTTGGGCCCAACTCCATTTGAGGCCATGTGCCCATATAATGCACACCGCCCAACTCCATATAAGGTCATGTGCCCATATAATGCACACCACCCAACTCCATATAAGGTCATGCTGCCCATATAAGGCATACCGCCCAGCTCCATATAAGGTCATGCTGCCCATATAAGGCACCCACCAACTCCATATAAGGGCATGCTGCCCCGCCCCCCCCATTGTGAGGTCACGCCGCGCACCCTATAAATTCCAGGCGCTCGGCCCCCATTGCCAGTAGCAGACGCTGTCTGTGCACTGGTGCGACTGGTGCAACTGGCAGTAGACGCTATAGGGTCAGGGGCTGCCGGCCCTCGCAGACCCAGTGAAGGTGACCGACGGTCAGTGGCCAAATCAGTCAGAGTCCACCCAATTCTTCCTGTCCCCGTGGCCATGGTGCGGGACATCGCAGGAAGGGGACCGATGGCCCCCAGCCGCCCCGCACCCCGACGGGGCCCGGCGCAGCCCAATGGCAGCCCCGCGCAGCAGAAGGAGCGCAGGCTGGAGCTGCAGGCACTGCGTGCCAAACTGGAGGCCGAGCGCCTCCACAACCAGGAGCTGCGGCGCCATTTCGCCGCCGAGATTTCCAAAATGAAGGAGGCGGAGGAGAGGGAGCGGCAGCTGCTGGTGCAGCAGCTGCAGTGCGAGTGGGAGAGGCAGCAGGCCCTCGACGCGCAGCGGCTGCAGGAGCAGCAGCGGCAGCAACGCGCCACCGAGACCCGGCAGATACTGCGGTGGAAAGCGGCCGAGCTGCAGGCGGCGCAGGAGCCGCTGCAGAAGGAGCTCGACGCGACCACGCACCAAGCGCGGGAGCTGCAGCGGCAGCTGGCCGACGAGCTGCGGACGCCCTGCAGGAGCAGCACTGCGGCCCGCGCCAAGCTCCAGGCTGTCCTCAAGGAACTGCGCTGGGAGACGCATGGGGACCAGCCCGCCCGCATCCGCCAGCTCCAGCATGAGCTGGAGCTGGAGAAGAAGCTTTTCATCAAGTTCATCGTGGCGGGCTTCGAGGACGAGCAAGAAGACAGCCAGGGAACAAAGGGCCAAGAAGATCAAGAAGGGCCCTTGGGCAAGGCAGAGCCAAAGACGCCGACACGGGCTCAGCCTGCCCGGGACGCACCGCAGCAGGGAGCCAAGGAAAGCTGGGGCTCCGAAAAGGGCAGCAGCCGTCCTGTGAAGGACGCTCAGGTCCAGGTGAGGAGCCAGGCTGAGGAAGCTGGGGGGGAGAAGGCTCCAGGGAGACCTCGGGGGGGCCTGAGGTCCCTAGAGGGGGCTACAGGAAAGCTGGGGAGAGATTCTGTCAGGGAGGGCAGTGGGGGGCTCAGAGTAATGGCCTGAGGCAGAGGAGGGCACGTTTGGGTCAGGTATAAGGAAGAAATCCTCCCCCGGGAGGGCGGCGAGGCCCTGGCGCAGGCTAGGGGGGGGCCCCAAACCTGGCAGGGGCTGGAATGAGGTGGGCGCTGAGCTCCCTTCCAACCCAACCCTTTCTCTGATTTGGTGATTGCAGGTTCCAGAACCTTCCGACGAAGACAAGGTGCTGCCATGCACGCTCGAGTGGATGCTGGAGCAGCACGACCGCCTCCAGCGAGCCATGAGCGGCCTGGAGAAGCAACGCCAGGCCCTGGAGGCAAAGAAACGCCTCCTGAGAGAGGCAAGCACCGAGGAAGAGTGCCGGGAGCTGCAGATGCTCCAGGAAGCCAAAGAAAAACTGCTGGTGCTGACCGAGCAGCTGGAGGAGAAATGCAGAGCCCTGATGAAGACCATCCAGCAGGACAGCAAGACTCCAGGGCCTCCACCCAGCCAAAGCTCCGCTGAGGCACCGCCACCCTGTGAGAGTGCCCCCAGCCCAAGCGAGGAGGTGCTGCTTGCCCAGCTCACGCAGCTGAGCGAGGAAAAAAAGCGACTGGAGGAAGAAAATTCTCGCCTCCGAAGGCAGCTGGACGCAGCGATGGGAGTCCAAGCTGAAAATGCTGACCTGAAGAAGCAGGTGGAGCAAATGGAAGAAGAGCAAAACTTGGCCCTGCAACAGGTCAGCGAGCTTCAGGCCCAGCTGCAAGAGGCCGAGTGCCAGCTGAAAGGGCTCAAGGAAATTGCAGACAGAGGGCCACAGCTGGAGAAAAAACACCTGGAGACACAGCTGGAGCTCCAGAAGAAAGAACAGGAGCTCGAGAGCTTGCAGAGGGCTCAGGAAGAAGGCAAGAGGCAGCACGAGGAAGCCTCGCAAATGTTACGAGCCCAGGTGGCCGACCTGGAAGATCGGTGCCACCATCAAACCCAACAACTCGAGCTGCTCGCTGAGGAGCTGCAGCGGCTGCAAAGCGAGCAATCCAGCCCTGCCACCACCCCTCTGCCACAGCCATCGCCTACCCACCCAGCCACCTCCCAGTCCCAAGCGGCAGAGGACAGCCCAGGGCCCTGCCTGCCTGCAGAAGAGGACATTGCAGAAGAGAGCCAAGAAGCGGAAACTTGGCAGCAGCCCTTCGACCTGCGGGCTTTGTTGGAACGAGGACCACAAAGGATTCGGAAATTCCTAGCTCTGCTACAGCTATGACCCTGCTGATAGTCCCAACGAGCATCCGGAGCTAGAGCTTCACCTCACGGCGGGGCAGTTTGTTTATGTCATTGGGGACATGGATGAGGACGGCTGGTATATAGGAGAGCGGACAGACGGCAGTAGAGGCTTCGTCCCCTCCAATTTGGTGCAAGAAGTTTTCGACGAGCTGAGCTTGACACCAGAGCCGCCAGAGCTGAGGGATGTGCTTCTGGACACCGATGAGGGGGAGAGCTCCACTGACAGCAGCAGCAGCAGCAGTGGGGAAGCCAGGGATGATCTGGACAAAGAAATCTGTCCCGATATGATGGATAAGTGGGCCGTTGCAGAAGCCTTCCTGAAGGAGCTGCGTGACGTGCTAAAAGAGGACAAAGAAACCTCCAGGGAAGGAAACGATGATTCCAGCGACCCCTTCTGTCTCTCACTCATGATGGAGGAGGAGAAAGATCAGGGTGCCGATGACACCAAAAGTCAATAAAACTGTCAACGATAATGAGCCTGGCCTTGGTGATTCTTCTCCAGAAGGTTTATAGAAATGGAGAAGGACTTCTTGGCCCTGCAGGTCACTGCACGCTGGAACAGGTTGGCCAGTGTTATAAATGAAGTCTCAACTCAATCTGAATTTTGTGATATTTATAAAACAAATATTTCTAAAAGGTAGAAAAGGCAAGTAAACAGCGCTGGGTGTGCGGGGAGTCTACGCTCCACCAACACGCACACACAAACATCAAACATTCTAAATATACAGAACATTGCTTTACATACTAAACCCGAGTACACCTAAACATATGTAAAATCAGAAAACGTAACAAAAAATCCTTTAAGTTCCATGACTTAACAGCCTCCGTATTCCATTCCTTTTCTTGACCACAAATAAGTCTCCATTTTCCATTCCTTTTGAACGATATGTCTCGCTTTAAGTTGTCAATCAACTTGGTCTTCGGGCCTTATGTATCCCGTTCTTCCCGGGTTGAAGAAAAGTAATATCCATCTCCTTTTCAAGGCCCTACCCCAACCCTAACCCTAACCCTAACCCTAACCCTAACCCTAACCCTAACCCTAACCCTAACCCTAACCCTAACCCAACCCTAACCCTAACCCTAACCCAACCCTAACCCTAACCCTAACCCTAACCCTAACCCTAACCCTAACCCTAACCCTAACCCTAACCCTAACCCTAACCCTAACCCTAACCCTAACCCAACCCTAACCCTAAACCTAAACCTAACCCTAACCCTAACCCTAACCCTAATCCTAACCAACCCTAACCCTAACCAACCCTAACCCTAACCCTAACCCTAACCCTAACCCTAACCCTAACCCTAACCCTAACCCTAACCCTAACCCTAACCCAACCCTAACCCTAACCCAACCCTAACCCTAACCCTAACCCTAACCCTAACCCTAACCCTAACCCTAACCCTAACCCTAACCCTAACCCTAACCCTAACCCTAACCCTAACCCTAACCCAAAAAGTGCCCCAATAGGGCCTGGGTCAAAGGCACATTCAGGTCAACAGGGGGCATAACAGCAAAAGCCTTTGATGGCTGTAGCAGCAATCCCACTGCAACCTTGTCATTTTTAGTTGCAGAGTCCCACACCTTGACCTCAGTTTGGTCCCATATTTCAGGCTCATTAACTGTCCGATCGTTAACGAGGAGAACGAGCTGTGAGGTGACCAGGACAGCCTTTGTTCCTAAGGACGTATGATTCCCCATAACGAGCCGCTGCTGACCAGCGAGGGGCAGTTGTGTGCACAGGTCCGCTTCTCTCCGTTACCATATATAACACCCAGAGACACTTTGTGCCCTTTTATTATTCTTTTTTAGCTTTATTGTGACAAAACGTGGTGTTTTGGGGACATTTCAGTCAGCGCGGGCCAAGGCTGCAGCCACCACTCCTCCCGTTACAGCCAGGCTCCCCCAGGCAGCGGGGCAGGGCTGCGTGTGCCCTTTTATTACTATTTATTAGCTTTTTTGTGACAAAACGCGGCGTTTTGGGGACATTTCAGTCAGCGCGGGCCGAGGCCGAAGCCCGCGCAAAGGCGCCACGCATTGGGCGCGCTCTGCGCATGCGCGGGGGGGGGTGGAAAATGGCGGCGAGGGGCGGGAACTACATTTCCCAGCGTTCCGTGGGGTGGGGGCGACGGCGGCGACTTCCGGTTTCCGGGGCGGCCTGGGGGCTGCGCGGTGCCCCCGCTGCCCGCTGGGGGGCGCCCGGGGAGGGGGGGGGCACGGGGGGGTCTGGGGGGGTCTGGGGGGGGGTTGGGGGGTGGGGGGGCACTGAGTGGGGGTGTTGGGGGGTGGGGGTGGTGGGGGAGGGGGGATTGGGGGGTCTGGGTGCAAGGGGGGGCAATGGAGGGGGGCACTGAGGGGTCCTAGAGGCGGGGGAGGGGGAATTGGGGGGTCTGGGGGGCAGGGGAGGGCCATGGGGGAGGTACTGGGGGGTCTGGGAGGTGGGGGGGGGTACTGGAGGGGGCATTGGGGGGTCTGGGGGGCAAGGGAGGGGGGTTTGGGGGGTCTGGGGGTCTGGGGAGGGCCATGGAGGGGGGCACTGGGGGGTCTGGGAGGTGGGGGGGGCACTGGAGGGGGGCACTGAGGGGTCTGGGGGGCAGGGGAGGGGGGGTTGGGGGGTCTGTGGGGTGGGGAAGGGCTATGGAGGGGACACTGAGGGGGCTGGGGGGCTGGGGAGGGGGTTTTGGGGGGGCTGGGGGTGGGGGAGGACTGTGGAGGGGGGCACTGGGGGGTCTGGGAGGTGGGGGGGGCACTGGAGGGGGGCACTGGGGGGCAAGGGAGGGGGGTTCTGGAGTCGAGGAGGCTCCTGGAGGGGGAGCCCGGGGGGGTCTGCAGGGGTCGGGGGGGGGGGGCTCGGGGGGCGCTGCGAGGGACCGCTGGGGGGCTCGGGGCAGCCTGCAGGGAAAAGGGGGGCTCGGGGCTGGGGGCACAGCAGCCGCTGGAACTGGGGGGGTTCCTGGGGCTGGGGGGGGGTGGGAGCAGTGCTGGGTTTGCCCTCGGGGGTCTCCCACTGTGCTCCTCGGGCGCTATTTGGGGGGTCCCGGGGGCACTGTTCACGGACCCTCCAGCAGCAGCTGCGGGGCGGGAGGGTAGGAAAACCCCCTCCCCAATAAATCCTCCAAATTTCTATTTTTTTATCTATAAATTCAAATTTTTATATATATTTTTTTATCCTTCAAAAATACCTTTATAAATAAACCCCTGGGTGAAATAAGTGGCAAAGGGACAGGGGGGGGACACGTGGGGGGCAGCTCTGCCCCGTGTCCCGCACGAGGCGAGCGGGGTTTGGTTTGACCCCAAGGTTTGGGCAGGGGCTTTGGGTTAGGGTTAGGGTTAGGGTTAGGGTTAGGGGGTTAGGGTTAGGGTTAGGGTTTCGGTGCCCTCCCCAGGCTCTGCAGCACCGGGGTCGGACCCGATGGGACCCCCAATTCCCTCCCCACACACACACACACAGGGGGGGGGGGCGGCGGCCGAGAATTCGGTGTTGGTGGCGGGGCGAACACTGCGCCTTTGTTACCCGAACAATGTTCCCCGGCCGGGATTCCTCACCCCCTCGCCCCAACCTTCACTCCGCCGGCCGCTGCCTTTGTTTCGTGCCGGGGCTCGAGGAGGGGGGGAGCCCAAAAACCACGCTCCGAAGGGTGCCAGCAAGGAGGGTTTTTGGGGGGGCTCGGTGCAGGCGCAGCCCGCGGCGATGTGCCCAGCAGCGGGGTTTTCGTCCTGAGGCCGAGAGGTAAGGCTGCTCCTGCTGCGGGACGCTCTGCCTGGCTTGGCAGCTCGGCTCTGGGATTTCTGAGGGCAGAACGGGACTGGTTTTACTGGGAGGCTGCTGGAAACGGTGCTGGTGGCCGTGTGGGATCTCTGCCAGCGCCGCTCTCCGAGCCTCGCGTCCTCCTAGCGCCGCTCTCAGGCGTGCCCGGCGCTGGCGTCTCGGCGGGGCTCCGGAGCTGGAGCCGAATTCCAGCCCCGTGGCATCCACCGAGGTGAGGACTCCCCGCACCCTGCTCACCAGATCCAGAAATCCCCTGGAAATCTTGGCAGCGACCTGGTTTTGGTGCCCCGGGTCCCCCTGGCCTGCGGAGCCTCCGCGTGGCGCTGGGCTCGGAAAACAAGGAGCCCAAATGGCCACGGGGCTCCTGTGCACCCCAAAACCCAAAAAAGGAGCTGGGAAGGGGGTGTCCCTGCCCTACAGCCCCTGGCTCGCACCCGGAGCTGCCTCGGGAGGAGCCCAGCGGCCGCGCTTTGTGCCCCCAGGTGTGTGCCACCTCCTGGCACCGCTCCCCGGCGCGCGGCGCAAAGGTCCGGGTGCCACCCGAGGGTGGAAACCGAGCGCCCTCCCCGCTCCCATCCGCACCCCGAGGCGCAGGGGGGACTTTTTTGGTTTGTTTTGTGATTTTTTTTTTTTTGGCACAGCTCCGGGATGGCGTGGGCAGAGCTTCCCAAACCTCCGGGCTGCTTCTGGCAGACGGGGGATTAAACGCACCGGGGGGCATCCATGGCTCATGGGTGCTGCTGGAGCAGGAGCAGTTTGTTCCCCGTTTTTGGGGGGAATTCCAGCCCTCCTGGGTCTGGGGGGCAGGGTTTGCCCCAAGGGGGCATCGCCTGGGCTCCGGTGGTGCCGGTGAAGGACCAGGGGTGGTGGGGAGCAGAGGGTGGCGTGGGCCACCAGTGCCCAGGGTGGTCCTCGGTGCCCAGGAGGGGGGAAAAAGGCTTTGGAGGATGGGGAAACTGAGGCACGGGGCGTCAATCCTCGCTGCTCTGCCTCGGGGTTGCCCCGCTCCTGCCCGTGGTGCAACCCCTGAGTGGTAACTCCCAGCCCCGTGCGCCCCCAGCTCCCGCGGGAAGGACCCTGGGAGCCCCAAAGGAGCAGCCCGGACCCCCGGAGGGCCCCCCCAGACTGCTCCTGACCCCCAAAAACCGACGGAGCCGGAGGGCAGCTCCGTGCCGAGGGCACCCGCAGCCCTGCGCCGAGCCAGGGTGGGTGGTGGAGAGAGGGGAGGAACGGGAGGTGAAGCTGAACTTGGGGGGGGTGCCCCCTGGGAATTGGGGTGCTCCGGTGCCGGGCGGTGCAGTATCCGCAGCGGTGCAGGGCAAAGGGTTAACAGCCCGAGGAGCTGATTTGCCAAGTGGTTCCTGGTTTATTCAGTGTGCGAAAGAGGCAGGGACAGGGGAGGGGAGCTCCGGGTGGGGAGCGGGGAGCAGGGTTGGTACCCGCCCGGCATCGCCCACCGCCACCACCACCGGGTCCCATGGGGCCACCCCACGGCACCGCCGACAGGTACGTCCCCAGCACCCTGGGGGGTGCCCTGGGGGGGAAAACCAGAGCTGGGGGTGACGCGGGGGCCACCCCCACCCCGCTCCTGGGCCCTGTGGCACCCGTCCCCTTTGTCCTCCCAGCCCCGTGCTGGTGCCTCCCCTCCTCTTCTCCCCGTGCCGCGGCTGCACCCATGGGAGCGCAGGGATGGGACCCCCAAATCCCCGCTGCCAGAGCCCCCCCCGTGGTGCCAGGAGGGTTCGATGCAAAGCTCGGTGTCGGGACCTTGGAGCCTGCTGCCTGTCCTCAGTTTCCCCATCCCGCAGCGGTGGCCGGAGCGAGGGTCCCTTGGGTGCCCCGGCACAAGGCGCTGGTGGTCGGTGGCCACCGGTGCCGGGGAACCTCCCGGAGAGCAAAACCTGCTGGCACGCGGCTCCTTCACCTGCTGCGTGCTCCCACAGGGTCCCCAGCCGAGGACGAGCCCCTCTGCGTCCTCACGGCGGGGATTTGGGGCTGGAGCAGGCGTTGGGAGCAGGTTTGCTTCTTGCTTCCTCCCCTGCGAGCCCTGACTGCGACCTGGCCCCGGCTGGGTGCAAAGGGCCGGGGGAGATGCCTGGAGGCGCAGGCTGGGTGCGCTGTGGCGCAGGATTCCCTCCTGCCCTGCTGGCACTCGGGGAAAAATCCTTGTCCCCAGCACCCAGGGGACGGAGGAGCCGGGTGCGTGCCCCGCCAAGATGAGCACCGAGCCGAGGGGTTGGGTGCGGGGCAGCCCCCCCAAAATCCCCATCCCTGATGGAGGGGGACCTCTGGAGGAGCTGACCCCTCGCCGGCACACCGAGCAGTGCCGGTGCCGTGCCGGTGAGAGGCTGCCCACGGTGTCCCCGTGCCGCACGTGGGGCTGGGGGGGTTCACGGTGGTGCAGGCGGTGGCAGCTGATGCCCGAGGGTTGCTCTCAGGGTTGGGTTTTCGCCCCCTTTCCATCGCTTTGGGGGACGCGAGGTTCCCCCCAGGCTCCTGCCAGCCCCTGTGCAGGAGGCTGGGCTCAGCGCCGTGAGGTCCCCTGGCTGATTTTTTACCCAAAAGCAAGAAGTTTGGGGACTTTCTGGGCGCTTTTCCGGGCACCGACACCTTCACAAAGCCCGCCAGGCCATAAATCACCCGGTGGCCTCTGGGTCGAGCCCTGCTCAGGGGTGGCAGCAGTGCCACCAGCGCCGGTCCCACCAGGTCCCTTTTGGGACGTGCCCTCGCCATGGGTGCTGGGGACGCTCGCCCCATCCAGGGCTCAGCCTCTGCTAATTGCCGTGTTAATTGCCAGCCAAGGGCACAGCTCGGGGGTGCTCCGGCTCTGCCTGTTCTCGCCACGAGGCTGCGCCGGGAGCAGAGCCGGGCAGGAGCAGATCTTGGTTTATTCCTTGATCCTTCTGGGTTTCTCAAAGCCCCTCGCTCGGGCAGGTCCCATCCCGGGCAGCCCGCGGGGCAGGTGACGGGCAGACACGGGGGGAAGTTTTGTTATCTGCTGACGGGGCTGGGAATGGAAAAACAGGAAAGCGCCTGAGCTCATCCCATTTCCCTGCCTGGCCTGAGTGGGGCCGGCCGGGGGCAGAGCTGCCTGCGGGGCCAGGGCGCAGCGGGGTGAGTCGGGGATGGGGGCGGCCATGCAGCCCGGGACCCCCCCAGAGCCTCTGTGCCTGTTGCTGTTGGGGTTTTGGGGAGCTGGGCAGGGGTGGGTGGCACAGGGTTGGAGCGCTGGGTTTGGGGTGCTTGTAGGGTTTGGAGCCTGGGGGGTGCCGATGGCTCCGTGACCCTAACGGCACCGCGGGTCCCATCCTGGGACCGGTCCCAGTAAACGCAGGGACCGGGTGCTGGTGGCAAATCCCCGGCCCCAAACACCTGCAAAGCCCCCGAGCGCCCTCCCCACGGGGAAACAGCTCCCAGGGGATGCGCTGAGCCCTGCAGGGGTGAAATTTGGGGGGGTTCTGAGGCGCAGCAAAGCGCGCGGGTGCGCGGGCTGCATCCTGCGGTGGCTGCTGGTGTTGGGGAGGGGGACACAAGGGGTCGGCCCCCCCCGAGCTGAGCCGTGGTGGAGAGGAGCTCTCATCCCAGCCAAATTCCTGGGCGCTTAATGAGTAACCGGCGGCTCCTGCGAGCCAGGGCAAACACAGCCGGGGGCCGTCCAGGGGCACCCGCGCAGCCCCCAGGCTGTGTTCGTGCAGGGCTGGGGGGCTCGAGGGGGGCCAGGAGGGGGCTGGGAGCCCTCCCCATTGCTCTGTGGGGTCAGGGGGCCCCGCACGGTGCTTGGGGCCGGGATGTGCGGCTCCTCTTTATGGCCACCATCGGCTCCACGGTCTGCTTGGAGCAGCCCGCGGGGTGCTTGTGGGGTCGGAGGGGCCTGATGGGGTCTGCAGAGCTCAGCTGGGACCACCCCAAGCTCGCCCCGTGCCCCCCAATGGGGCCGGGCTGTCCGCATCCATCCCTGACACCTCCGCTCCTCCATCCCACAGCGCCCGGCCCTGGCACTGAGCGGGGCATGGACGGCCCCGAAATCTTCCTGGGCCCCTGCGAGGGAGCCCTCTGCGGGGTCCCGGGCCAGAAGCGCCGCTGCATGTCGGCCCTGGAGCCCGTCACTGTGCCCAGCCCCAAATCCGAGGCCAGCTGGGGCGAGGAGGAGGAGGAAGAGGAGGAAGATGAAGAGGATGAAGAGCGGTCCCGGGGGGTGCCGCTGCGGCGAGCCTGTGCCCTGCGGACCTCGATGCGCAGCCGGGACCCGTTCCGACGGCACAGCTGGGAGCCGGGCAAGGAGCTGCGCGGGGTCCCCGGCTACGACCAGCTCAGGTAGCGGCGCCCCCACCCCGTGACCCCAAAACCAGCCCCCGCGCCCCCCTCGCTGGTGCTCGGGATCCTCCGTGCAGCACCCCCGGCACACCCCCTGCCCTGGCGTGGCACCGAGCAAGGCTCGCCCCATGGATACGGGGCTCATGGCACCGATGCCACGGCTGCCCCGCTCCGGTGCCCCCCACCCCGGGGTGCCGCAGCTCAGGGTGCCCCTCACCCCCCCACAGCGTGAGCCTCAAGGGGCTGAGCCCCGACGACATCGACTCCAGCACGGAGCAGCTGGACGGGCTGGGGAGACGCCGGTGGGACCCCCGGAGAGCCCCCCTGATCCACAGCACCGAGTCCCTGCTGTCCCTGGACGAGGAGGACGAGGCCGATCTGCAGCGGGCGCAGGTAGGAGATGCTGCTGCTCTTCCTCCTCCTCTTCCTCCTCCTCTTCCTCCTCCTCCTGCCACCCCAGGGTGCAGCACCCACCTCCCCCTGCAGCTGGCAGCACGGGGCCGAGGCCAGGGGACCCCAAGAACCGCGGTGGATGGAGGCAGCCCAGCAGAGCCCCTGCCCCAGGTGCCTTCTCCATCACCCCAGGGCTGGGCTGCGTTATTTTTTTTGGGGGGGGGGAGCTTCATTTTGGGGAGGGGGAAATTAAAGCTCTGTGAGCCCAGCGACCGCCCGGTGCACGGGGACCCCGCTGGCCCCACAAAGGGCAACCAGCGCCCTGCGCCCAGGGACTGGGGTCGGTGATCCCAGTGATCCCAGTGATCCCAGTGATCCCAGTGATCCCGGTGGTCCCGGTGGTCCCGGTGGTCCCGGTGATGCCAACCCCGTGCCTTCTGGCAGGAGGACGCGCGGAGGCTTCAGGTGTACGGGGCCAGGAGCGCCGGCGGCTGCGCCCTCGCCAAATCCGCGTCCCTCAGCGTCATCGACAGCTTCCCCCCCGCCGTGGGTGAGTGCCAGCGCCCGCGGGGACGGGTGGGGGTTTTGGGGCGATGGGACCCCCGCCCCTCATTTAATTCGGGCCCCCCTCTCTTGCAGAAATTTCCCCCTTCGCCTCCCAGCAGAGCCTGGCCAACGGGTGAGTGTGGGGGCTGCGGGGGGCGCAGGGGGGTGCTGGGCGGTGTCCCCCAGCACCCGGCCCCTTTTTGGGGTGCCCCCAAAGCGGCACCGATCCTGCACCCTGCCGGTGGGGTCCTGGCACACAGGATGGGGGGCACCAGGAGCAGACCCCCCCCCCTCTGGGATGGAGGGGACGGTGCCCCCCCCCCCCCCCGGTGCTGTCCCCACCCGGCCTCGAGGCGCTTTGTGCCCGTGGGGCCCCGCGGCCCCAGCGCCTGTCACAGCCCATTCCCGTCCTCATTAGGGCAGGACGCGGGGGGGGGTCAGGGCATGGGGCTGGCAGGGAGCCACACTGGGACGGGGACAGGGATGGGGACGGGGACAGGGACAGGGAGAGGTCAGCTGGGGAGCAGGGGGGGTGCTGAGCCTCCCCCTGCTTTTTTCGGAGGGGGCACCTCACCCCCCACCAAGCGTGGACGGGACCGAGGTCGGCTTCGCTGCGGGCAACGCACAACGGGGCCGTGTGGGTCACCCCAAAACCACGGGGACGTCCCCATAGCCGTGGGGCTGCCCCAAATTGGACCTCGTGGGGCAGGCGATGCCATGGGGTGGCCGAGCAGGGGACGCAGGCACCGTCCCGTGCCATCACCCCGGGGGTCCCCGCGTGCCCCCGTGCGGGGTTGGCTCAGGCGGGGAGGGAACAGAAGGGCTCTGTGCCGGGTCCAGCTGCGATGGAGCAGCCACCCCGGAGAAGCCGGGGGGCCGCGGCGCCTCGGCTCGCTCCTCCCTACTTCCTGGCCCGCGGACGCCCGGGGACAGAGGGGGATTTGTGCGCCTGATCCCGCTCCTCCTGCAGCTTCGGTGCCGGGAGCTGCGGGCAGCTGGCGGCCTCGGGCGAGCCGGGGAGCCGGGAAGGGAGCCCCCTGGGCCGGACCCTCAGCTTCATCTGGAGGATGACGGGGAAGACGAAGGTAAGGGGGAAGGGGATGAAGGGGAGAGGAAGGGTTGGGGAGGGGGGCGGGGGGAGCATCCGTGGCCGGGACCCCTCGAGCCGGGCACTCGAGGCCGCGGGGAGGTGGTGGGGTGTGGGGTGATCCCCAAAATGCTGCGTGGGGGTTGGGGGTGGGACGGGGGCTCGTTCCGGGCTCTGTGGCTGCGACGCTGGCGGTTGCCCTTTGGGGATGCTGTGCCTCAGTTTCCCCTTTCTGCTTGATGTTATCCTCGGCTGCTTTCCGGGCCTTTGGGGTCCGGAGAGGGGAAAAGCTCCGTGTACGCCCAGCGCGGTGCCTGGGCGAGTCCTGGGGTGCTCGCTCTGCCCCCCCAAAGCCCCCCCCCAACTTTTAGTGGGCATCTCGGACACTTCCCCTTCCCCAAAACCCAGCGGGAGGTGAAACAGGAGCGGGGCTGCGCTCATGGAGCTGCGCCAGCGGGGCAGGTACCGGGCACCGGGGATGCGTTTTTGGTGCCTGCGCCACCGCCCCCGTCCCGGCCACCCCCGATGTCCCCAGGGACCAGCTGGCACCATCATGGTTTTGATGGGCGTGATGGTGACGGGGACATGGAGGGCTGTGGGTGTGCCCGTGGGTGCAAGGGGGGGGCACTGCGCAATGCCACTCGCCCCTCGCAGCAGCCCTGGGGGGTGCCGGTGGCATCGGCTGCTCCTCGTCCCGCTGTGCCGGGGACACTTTGGTGACCCATGGCCGTGCTCTGCGGGCACCCCGGGTGCTGTGGGGTGGGGACGGGGGCGCGCTGCGGGCGGCGGGGCCGAGGAAATGAGGCTTTTCCTGGCGGCGGGCGCTTGTTTGCGCGCTGAGCTCTCCGCCCGCGCGCCCTCCCCCGGGCTCCTCCGCCGCATCCGAGCGGTTTCCTGCAGCCGCTCATTCATCTGGGCCCGTTTTCTCCCAGCTGCTTTCCAGTAAATGTCCGGGAACATTAAACCAGGAGTGTGCAGGGCCCTGGTGGGACACCCCTCCCGTGCCTCAGTTTCCCTTTTCCCACCCATAGCAGCAGCAACGGGATCCCAGCCCCGTGGTTGAGGTGCCCCGGGGGGCACCGGGGGGTGCGCAGGAGCCTCCCCGCGCCCCTTTTGCTGGAGCTGCTTTTTGGGAGAGGCGTCCCCAGCCCCCGGGGATGGGAGCTCGGGGGAAACTGAGGCACGGCGCTGCACCCAGCAGCTTGGGGGGGTGGGGGGGGGGCGATGGCTTTTTGCTCCCCTCCCCAACCCTTCTGGGGCCGAACCCCACCCGGTCCCCAGGGCCGCGGGGCTTTGCCGTGACGTGAGCCCATTAATCCTGCCGCCCCCCCCCCAGCCCTCCCCAGACAGAGGATTAGCAGCCAGCTGTGAACATCACCCAGGGCCCGGCCATCCCCATGCTGGCAGCCCCCCAAATCCCCCCCCCTCCTTGGCTCCCTGTGCCCCCCAAACCCCGCAGCCGTCCCCGTTCCGCCCCGCTCGGCAGCTGGCCGCGACGCTGCGAACGAACGGCTTGAAATGGGCGTTTGGGATTTTTTTTGTTGTTGTTTTTTGTATTATTATAATTATTTTTTTTTGGCAGGGAGGGCAGAAAAGAGGCCGCGGCCGCTCGCGCCGGCCTGGCAAAGTTTTGTTGTGAAAGCGGGGAGGGGACGGGGCCGGAGCCCTTCGCGCAGGGATTGCATCAGGCGCTGCACCGGGAGCGGGGCCGAGCTCCCACCCCCCTGCATCGCTCCCCAAGCCCCCCCCAAAAAAAAAAAAAGGGCTGCCGGTGCCTTTTCACCCCCCCTTGACCCCCCCCCAAGCCTGCTCCTCGGGGACTTTCCCAGCAGGTGGATGGGAAGTCCTGGCTTTCCCAGAAGGGGAAGGGGAGGCTCGGTGAAGGGAAGGGGTTTGGTGGCGCTTTGGCACCAGTCCCGATGCCTCTGGGGGCACGTCCCTTTTTTTGGGGGGGTGACATGGTGACATGTCCATGCCTGGGGGGGTGACACGTCCCCACCAGCCCCTCGAGTGACCCGGGGTGATGGAGATGCAGCGGGGGTGCGAGGCAGAGCCACCCCCAGGGGGACAGCGGGGACACCGCGGGTATCAGGGTTGCATTTGCAGAGCCCCTCCGCCTCCTGCGTGCCCCCACGGGGACAAAGGGACACGCAGGGGGCTTTGTCGCAGCCCCCCCCCCTCCAGGGCTGGGGTTGATGGCACGGGGTGCTGCGGGGTGTCCCCCTGGGGGGTGCTGGTGGCCGAGGGGGGGGGACAAAATCAGGTGGCGGTGACGGAGCCGCGGCCACAGGGGGACACGGGGGTCCCTTGGGACACCGCGGGGACAGGAGGAGGGGGCTGAGCGCAGGACGTGGGTGGCACCGTCGAGGGGGAAATCCAAAAGAGGGGACCCCGAGGGGTCCCCGTGAGGCAGCCGGGGGTCGTCTGGAGGGGGTCGCGAGGGGTTTGGCGAAGCCGGGCGCCGGTTGTGCCGCGGCCGTCGAGGGCGGCGAGGCGGCGGAGGGGAGGGCCGGCTCTGAGCTATTTCAGGAAGGAAAAATAATCAGGCGCCGGGGCCGGGCTCGCCGCTGCCCGCGGGCCTGGCTCTGCCTCTTCCCGCGGAGCTGCAGCCATGTACGGCCGTCCCGCCGCGAGGGTGAGGCACGGCACTGGGGGGGCACGGCCGGGCGGGGGGCTCGGGGAGGCTGCGGGGACCCCGCTTGGAAAGCCCTCGATGCCATGGGGCACGATCCGGCGGTGGTGGTGGTTTTGGGGCGTATGGTGATGGTTGGGGGCATGGTGATGGTTTGGGGGTGCACGGTGATGGTCGGGGGGCACGGTGATGTTTGGGGGGCACGGTGATGTTTGGGGGGCACGGTGATTTTTGGGGGGCACGGCAAGGGGGGGCCCCCATCTGGAGCAGTCCCATGCACCCGCGATGCCGTGGGGGCTTCGTCGATGCCCGGCTGTGGTTTTGGCAAGGGGATGGTGGCGACCTCACCAGGGACCCCGTGGTTCCGAGGGGGGGTCCCCGCTTCTACCACCCCATCTCCCCCCCTTCCCGGCTTCTTTTCGGCTCCGTCCCACTCGGCCTCCGCTTCCCCCTCGCCACGCGGGGCCCTCTCCCCCCACGTGATGCTCGCGGCGCCGCGGGGCTTTCCAGCACCCGGATCCGGCCCGAGTGCACCGGGACGGGGCGGAGGGGGGCGGTTTGGGGGCGCTGAGCCCTCTCCATGCACCACCGGAGCCTCCCCACCGGCCACATCCTGCCCCGTTGGGGCGGTGGGGGGAAGCCCGGTGCTCCCCTGGGTAGCCGGCCGCCCCTTCGCCGTTTCCTTCCGTCGGTTTTTGGGGAGGCGCGGGGCTGAGGCAAGGTCCGTGCTGCCAGAACGGGGCGAAAGCGGGCTGAGATTTGGGGGAATTTGCCAGCAAACGCCACCACGAACGCCGCCCCGACGCTGCCCCGGTGCAGGGGGGGGGGAAAGCAGAAGGAGGCTCGGGCCACAGGAGGAGGAAATGAGAAATTCGGAACCGGGCTGGGGGTTAAGGGAGGCCCACGGCCTCCCCACACCCGGGTGCTTTCTGGTGGCACGAGGCTCTGGTGGCCTCCTCGCCGCCGCCTGGCACGGGTTTCGTGCCGCTCCCCGGCCGCGAGATTTCATCCAAGCCCGACCTCGGCAGCGGGAGGCCGCCGGGAGCGAGCCCACCCGGGGGGGGGCAACGTCTGCAGCTGCCTCGACAAAGCGCTGAAGGACGGAGCGGTTAATTACCAGGGAGGTTAATTAAGAGAGAGGCCGTCGCTCGCCAGCCGGGAGCGCTGAAGTTTGGGCTCCGTTTCCACCTCCCCAGGGGCATCACCCCAGAACCCAGGACCCGAATTGGGGAGCAGGAGCGGCCCCAAGGGAATTTTTTCCCCACTGCGGGGCCGTTGCACGGGGCCAGGCGGCCCCTCGGCCTCGCCAAACAATCCCCCTCTGTTGGTGCCGCGGAGGAAACCCCTGTTTACATGGCCTCGCCGTGGGGGAAAGCAAAGCTTTTCTTTGCTCCCTCGCTGCCAACATTTTCCCCCGGAGCTGAGCGAGGGCAGCGCGCGGCGGCTCCAGCGCAAACAGTTTGCCCCCGACGCCCACCCGGGGGCTCAGATGGGATGCGGTGGGGGTGGCAGCACCCCCCTGGCTGGCTCCAGCGCCTGTGTTTTGTTTTGTTTTTTTTTATTATTATTATTTATTTTTTTGGTTACTGATTAAGCCCAAAGCTGCTGGCGCTGCCTTACGGCTCGAGGCACGGCCTCCGCTCCTCTTGGTGAGCGTCGAGTGCCGCGGGCTGGGATGCGCCGGCGAGGGGCCACTTGTCTCCATGGCGAGCCCCCAGGGCTGCGTGGGGACAGCGGGGGGCTGAGCGCCCCAAAATCCTTCGGGAGGATTTTGGAAAGCGGAGTGGCATGAAGTGAACCCAAAACTTCATGAAGTTAACCTAAAACTGCACAAAGTGGCTGGCCGGAGCGAGCGGTGCCCGGTGGAAAGTGCCACCGCTCGCCCAATTTAACCCCTTGGGGCCACCGTGCCTGGCACAGCCCAGCTTTTTAGGGCTCCATAGGGAACGTGGCACCAGCCCCCAGGGCTTGTCTGCGCCTCGGAGCCATCCCGATGCCTCCCACCCCGTGCCTCCATCCGGCCTCCCATCCCCGTGCCTCCTTCGCCCCGGGAAACGCGGCCGCGTTATCTCTGGGGCAGAGCTGTGCAAATCCTGGGGGGGAGCTGCACAAATCCCCGGGGAGCTGCACAGATCCCGGCCCCAGTTAATGATCAACCAGGCCGGGGCCACCGGGAGCTCTGCGCCTGCGTCGCCCCTCTGAGGGGGGGGGACGATTTCCACGGGGATAAAGTGTCCCTGGCGGGTGGCGAGGTCCTGGCAGCGAGCTGGGGTCGGGGGGCTCCAGTAAAGCCCCAAATGAGCCCCGTGCCCCCCCCGCCTCCAGGCTCGGCAGCACCCCAGAGCTGCGTTGGGTCAGCTTCTCCC